TCGCGCAATTTTATAGTCTTTCATAACTTGAATTAAACACAACGATGAAAAGACAGTAGATAAAAAATGACTCACCGTTAAGATGCACTGATGGCTCGGTGAGATGTACTCCAGTCCCCGGTGTCCCTCGCCGCTGAAGCACTTCTGTATATTGGTCATGAACTTTCTCCTGATGGCCTTCAGCGAATAGACGCATAGCGCGGAATGTGGTTTGGGTACGTCGGTATTGGTGCCGTTGCTCTCGGCGAAGACGGCGAACAACACGTCGTCCTGGGCAGTGATGCCTAAATCGCTGGCTAGGACCGAGCCGGCCTTGCCGACGTACGCGGCCTGTACCAGGTTGTAATAAGTCCCGTCGCTGGTACAGTTGATCGGTATCTCCGTGTACGAGTAGTAATGCATATCCTCGTGGCAGACCCGCACCAGTTTCGATATGTGCACCTGAGTCTCGGTGCTCTTCATCTGGGTGGTCATGAAGTAGCTGAACCCGCCGCTGCTGAACCCGTACACGTAGGTGATGGGGTACCGCTCGCGCGACAACGAGTTTATATACATCCTCGTTCCGGTGGTGACGGCGGCTTCCGCGATGTTCAACATTTTGTCCTTGTCCAGCGATCTGGAGCTGACCGCGGGCACCTCCGATCGGTACGGCGAGTTCCCGGTGAACGTGACGCCGACGTACATCACTTGAGACACAGGCGGGTTAGGTGGCCCGGGCGCTATGAACGCCACTGTAGAGGCCGTCGCGTTGTTCGCGACCACTGCTTCCTTCACCTCTTGCACCACGTCCGAGATGTTATGGAGGTTCCTCACGGTGCAGGTACCTTGGAACAAGCTCCCGCACGATATCAGTCTGGTGGTCGTGTAATCGATCACCAACGCCTTGTTCACGTTATCTACGAGTCGCGTCGGTGTTTCGCGGGGACAGTCGATCATCGAGCACTCGTTAGAATGCCCTTTCGGACCGGTCACTTCCTCCACGACGAGGCTCAGGTCCGGCGAGAGCTGATACAGCCGGTTGACCGCGCCCACGTACACCCGACCGGTGTTTTTGTCCACGACCAGATGGTTCATACGCTTGACCTCCGGGTCGTGGAACCTTTGTACTATGTCGGCCGGCGTCGAACGCACCGGCAGCCGAGGAGACAACAGCACCAGGATCGACAGGAGCAGACGCAGTTGCTGTTGATGCGAGAACATCGATCCCATCTTCGCCGTCCTCGTCGATGTCGCGCCGCTGCCCGGGAAGACTAGCATCTTACCTATTTTCTATCTACTTTCTAATGCTACGCGGGACGCGATCTGCCGCGATTTCCTCCCTCGCTGCGCCCGGGGACCCTCGTGTCTTCCTCGAGCCTCGCCCAGACCTGCACATAAATAAAATCCAAACTCACTTTCCGTACGATTCTTCTATAGGCTGACGTATCCATAGCGTATATGTAGAGGGGGGGACATACGTTCCATTTGCGACTTGGCATAGGAGAATCGTAGCACCGATCGCAAGTTTTACTGCCCCTGCGCTATTTGCATTTTATAGAGCGGCGGCAAATGGAGCGTGGAACGAACGCACAGTGTCATTTCTTAAGTTTACGCCCTGGGGTGAGCGCGAAGAACAGGTAGGAATGGTATTAATTTCACGGGAATATAATGCATAGTTTACGAATTTCTCTTCTCGTTATCGCCGCGCGGTTCGCACTTAAACGTGACCGTACGTATTTAATTGAACAAAATAACGAGTTCCGAGCGCTTTCTCGACCCACGGAGAGAGTCAAGTCGTAAAACACGTGTATATACGTAGGTGTCGCTGCAAGCAGAATGTTGGATATATCGCCGGTTAGTGTCGTTTACTAACTCGAACCGATCTCAAGTCGAAAGAAGTGCCATTTTAAGGAGCCACCAGTGTGACCGCCTAAAATTTAGGGCATTTTTGGGAATCTTTTTTCTACAGAAAAAAGACAAAGACGCTCTTAAACTAGACATGCTTTATTGTTGAATGTCGTAGGATATCCGAGAAATGTTGAAATCTGACAAAATGGCGGAGTTTTTAAGAAATTTCTCGATTTTTCTTTAAAAAAACTAGTTGAGATCCAACCTTGAAATTTCATTATATTTTTGAAGGACTTTCGACAAATGTAAAACAAAATTCGATTTTTTTACAGTACAGAAAACTATACTTAATTAAGAAAACTTATTTAAGAACGTGTAAAA